GTTTGTGCCTCCAAACTGATAACTCACTCCTGCTGTGGGTGGGATTAGTTTTTTAATGGTATTTTTGTAAAGAGAAAAACAAGAACATTAAATATGCTATACTTCCTTTATACAATTGGAAGCTTAAAGTGAAAGTCACAAAAGCCTAATAATGTAACAGATAAATTGTTTTGTATATTTCACTTACATCATGGTTATTGAAGGTGCAGGGGTGGTCGTTTTCCTAGCTTACCATTTCTACCTTGATGTGAAATGAATAGTACGTAATTTAAGTTTTATTCACTTGCCCAGACATAGAGATTTACTAAAAATGTGCACAATAAGCAGGAACCTTCAAGGATCAGGCTATTTAGTTATTTCTTATTTTCCTGCAGGAAAGTCTCAGATTTAAACTTTGTCAGAGAAAGAACATACATAAACATTTTCAGCTTTTTACTGACTTTACCATCAAGTTTGAAACAGTTTGTTTGGATGAAATTCTTGTTCTATAATTCCACACGATATTATGAACATTTTATTTGCAATAAAATAGGATTATTTCCTTTTAGAGGGCCTCTGTGAAATTCTTCTTTGCAATTCTGTATCCATTTTGTTCTTTTACACACAAGTGATCTCCATATTTCCTTTTGTAATTGGGCATGTAATAAGCACCCTAACCCATGGGAAAAAACCAAAAAATGCCATCAGCAAGATTGTACATCTTGCCTGAATAGTTGTTTCTTTTCTTACTGAGATATTTGGGAATATATGACAAGCCAGTTGAAATAAAATTTCCTGTATTTGAAAATAAATTATATCAGGAAGCCCAGAACTGTGATTGAGTACTGAAGATAAAACATACTGTACTACTGTAAAGGCATATTCCCACCATTTTATATTAACAACATGTCTCTGAAAGGCAATAAAATAGGCGTCAGATTATAATGCAATTTGAAAGAGTTCTCAACATGCGTAGTAACTTGATTCCACCATGACTGATTAAAATCCATTACTTTGTTGCTAAGTGACTTCATAATTGGCTTGAAAAGAGCAACCTCTTAGAAATCTTGATAAATGATTTTCAAACTTTGTCACAGTTTTTGTTAAATATGTTTCTAAAGAGAGTAATATATTCAGCCTGAGTCTTCCTGTTCTTTCTTCATAACCAGTTCCCTTTTATGGTTTTATTTTTCCATAGTTCTCACTGAAATTTCAATTTTGTGGAAAGTATCATATGCTTTTTTAAAAATTCTTATAGTAATCATTGTATTCCTCTCTCTCTCTCTTCCCCCCCCCTTTGTCCCACAGTCATTAAGCAAGTTCTGTTTACAATGGAATAAACTTTTGATACACAGCACTGTGATTTGTTTTTAAGAAATTATGCTGAGCAAAAATGGCAAGAACTCTAAGTATATGAAAATAATTTAATTGTACAAACATCTGGGATAAAGTGTGATAATGTGGTAGATGTACTCGGTGTGCAATGATCCAATTAGAGTTGTTCACATTTTTATCTTCTGAACTCTTTAAAAGTTTTGATTAAGTTAACAATTGTACGTATTTATGGGGAACAGTGTGATATTTCAATTCACATATACAATATCTACTGATCAAATCAAGGTAATGAGCATATCCATCTCATTATTAGGAAGCATTGAAAGTTTTAAAGAAAAAAATTAATGTGCTGTTATAGAAGTATATAGATTACAAATACAGCGATACCTCGGTTCATGAACTTAACTTGTTCTACGATCTTGGAAAAGATGGCCACGTTTGTGTTTGTGCAGGAAAGGTGGCTGCAGTTGTTTGACATCCAATGCAGAATTTGCAAACAAAAGCAAAATTTTACCAAACGCTTTTGTTTGCGAACCAAATCGCTTTCAAACAAAGGCATTTGTGAACCAAGGTACCACTGTATGTAGAGAACTACTTCTACATGCTTTCATGGAATTTAGTCCAGTTTAATCAAGGATATGAGATCATTCTCCAGCTGTATTCAGAACAAGTCTGAGGATGACAAATAAGTAGCACACAGAAGTGCTAAAAGGACTGGTAACCAAAAAAGAAGATCTTTGTCTTCTCCATCAGAGACACAAGCAGCAGGCTCAGAACTACAGTCAGGGCATCGCTGCATTGTACACAACCCATCTGGGGGTGTCAAAATTAATTATTTTCTAGTATTTAGGAGTTGGGATATTTCCCATGAAAGTAAACATGAATTTTCAAGCTTCTCTTGAAAAGATCCACGTCTTAAACATCCTGAACCCTGCTGCCCCTGCAGGCAGTGATGAGCCCAAGTGCCTTGGGCACCTCAGGCACCTCAGGTGCCCTCTTTCCTCTACCGCCTGACTTCCTCATTTTTCCCTGGGCCTTGCATCTACCCAAAGGCATTAGAGTTAGGGAGCTCTGCTATGAACTCATCCCTGACATCGTGGCAGCTTTCTTCCCTTTATGACATTTTCTTTCACTTTTCCTCTTTGCCTTGTTATCATCACCTTAGACAAGACCCCAATTACTGTGCAATCAGCGACCAGAGAGACTCCCAGAGAGCTTCCTCTGCTTGTCTCCTCCCAGGCAGTACAAATTGCATACCTTTCCCTGCAGGTGGCATCCTAGGGAGACAGAAGACAGTAGGAGGAGACAGGGCTCACAAGATCAGAGTCCAGGGTAGTTGCCACAAGTTAAATGCCTGAAGTCAGGAGAGAAAGGGGAAATAAAGAACATTAGGAACCTGCTCAGGAGTGATGGGCAAGTAGAAAATAGGGAGCCAGGGAACAAAGACAAATTAAAAAGAAGGGTGAATGTGGCCAAAAAGCACATAAAAAGATGGTCAGTTTCACATCAGGAAAATCAAAAGTAAAGCAATGAGGTATTCTACATATCCACAAGGATGGGTAAAATTAAATACCAGTGGACATGAAACAACTGGAATTCTCAAATGTTTCCAGAAGGAATGTAAAATAGAACAATTTTGGAAAACAGTTTGGCACCTTTTTTATGAAGTTACACACTCATCCTAAGTATTTACCCTTAAGAAATGAAAACTTGAATCCTTGCAAAAGGTGTGCACAGTATTTGTAATAAATTGTGGTACATCCATTCAGTGCAACACAACTCTGCAATAAATACAGAATGAACTTTGGATACACAAAATAATATACTTGATTCTCAATTATGCTGAGCCAGAGAAGCCCCGTATAGTATTACTTACAAGTATATGAAATTATAGAGGCAAAACTAATCTAAAGTTATAGAAAGCAGATGAATGATTTTGGGGGGCCAAAACTGAGAGAAATCTGATTGCAAAAGGGCATAAGGGAACTTTTTGAAGTGTTGAAACTGTTTTAGGGCTTGATACAGACTGCAGAAGTGCATATAGTTGTTAAAACTCACAGAGCTGTTTATTTGACCTATGTGTGTATTATTTCATGCTGATTTTAACCTTAGTGATGTAGACTAAATAAAAATACTTGTACACAATCTAAAAACAAGGCAGGCAGTCCTGGGAGGGAAACAAATTCACACCAGTACAGGAGGCAAAGCAGAGATGAGCAGCGAAGGGCATTACGAAGACCTCAGAGTACTAACTTGGTGTTCCAGTACATCTTTGGGAAACCTATATATGTATGTTTCTTCTCCCAGAGCTACCCATATTGGCAGCTGCTATATCCTGCCACCGTCCTGAAAGGCACTCAGCACATCCTCTCAGCATATCAGTTCCCTGTGACGAACTTGCCATTTTTTCTTCATTGCTTCCTACCACATACAGCCCATCCACTTATATCTGGAAATAAAGTTTTATTGGAACACAGCCACACTCATTGGTGTGTTTTCGGCGACTGCTTTCATGCCACAACACCACAGTTGATTCATTACCTGGCCTATTGTAGAAAAAAATTGCCCATCCTTGTCATAAAGCCACACTTGTTTCCCTGACAGTTACACCCTTTGTTCTCTTGGCCACCTTTCTGGCCCTTTCTCCTTAGACTTGTTCTCCACTCCTGCCTTACAGACTCCCAGTTGTAATCACACTAATCATCTTTCTGCCTGTAGTAATCCTTTCTCATTGTCCTGCTATCCATAATTTTAAATTATTTCTTTCTTTCCTGTCTTTGTAAGTCCTACATCTAACTCGATTTCTGTTTCTTCCTTGAAGTTATCTTCTGATTATTGCTATCCTGTTTTAATGAGTTGATGTCATATGGTAAAGTCTTTCATTACTTTCATTGGGTTGCTTTTATATGTAACTAATCTAGGAACTGGTTAAGGAATTATTTCTATTTTTATACTTCTGCACCTTCCTTTCCCATTCCCACCCAATGTGCAGGGCACGATATGTCTTTAATCTGCCCAGTTCTTTCTGTCTCCACTCGCAGAGTCCCAGGTCATTGTCTTTTGCTAGGCCTGTTGCAGTGTTACCTTAATTGGTCTCTACTCTCTTTTCTTATCCCTCTTTTCTCTGTCTTCCAGATGAGAGTTAATATATCATTTTTTAAAAGTAAATTGTATTATTTGACTCTATTTCTTAAAATGTTTCCGGTTGTTTCCCCTCCCGACGGTGCCATTTTTCCCTTCCTGCCTCCTCCGTGACTCACTGTTTCCCCAAGGCCCTTTTCAAGCTCACCGCCTTGGGGGTGCTTATTTCTCCTCCTGGAATGTTTTTCTGCCATGCTTTCTGGGGCTCCACATCCTTCCCTGTGCCGACACTCCAGTGAGGCATCTTTCTGCCTGGCACAAAAATCCTCTATTACATAAGCAGCACAATCTGAAATCTACCTTCATTTAGGGTTCGTTTTCAGCTTCTTCCCAACAATTCATCGCCACCACGAGAGCAGAGATGTTGTCTGTCTTGTCATTGTGTCCCCACACCTCGTGTGGGACCTGACTTACAAAGATACTTACTGAATTAACCGCCGAGTAAACACTTGAAAATACAATAGGCAGATAATACTGAGTATTTGCTCTTGTTTTTCCATGAAATTTTCTTTTCCTAAAAATTTTTTTTTATCTAATTCTTGCAGGTACTTCCGTTGTAACTGTAAACGCTTTCGTTTCTGATGCAGTCCGGGACATTATTAAATATTCAGTGTTTAGTGGAAACAAAGATGGAGTTTTTTCCTTGGACTCCCACTCAGGTAATCCTCCTCTACCTTACAACCGCCTCCCTTCTGATCTGTTTAATGTTACTAGTAATAGATACTTCTGCAAAATCTGAATGGTTGAAATTATTAGAGGTAAATAATTTATAAGGTTAACGTGAAATTTTTTATGGTAGCCAATGAGAAACTGAGGAAAATCCAGAACCACATATATATTTGCTCATGCATATTCATTAAGAATTCTACTCTAGTTATTTCTGAATTAGTGTCTATCCTGCCCTTTGAATTTTTGAAGATGAATTGGCGTTTACGTATAATTTACCTACCTGTGTGAGGAAGTTGGGGATCTAATAGGGAGATCATTAGTGAGTTTGAATTGGAAATAAGCACACATGCCTAGCCTTAGGGAATTTTCATCGGGGATTCTTCTAATTCGCCACTGAATGTCAACAATGTAAAAAAAGAGACAGCTGGAAAAGTTTCTATGTGGCGGTAAAGAAATTACTTCCAAATACAGCATGTGTTAAATTTCACTTTAATAAGACCATCATTGTGTTTTAAATGAATACCAATTATTTGAAACATGTTTTTTTGACTAACAGCTATGTAGTAGGTACATAGCTGTTGCTTCATTGTCAAACCTGAAGAGGAGAGTTTGTAGAAATTTCTGTATGGCCGTACAACTGCCGTGTTTATTCTGTATTCGTGCACACGGGAGGAGAGAGAGGGGCAGATTCTCAGGTCAGCGCCTGTTTATCCGCGTGGTGCTCTAACTTCTTGGTCTGCACAGCCCTTGGTCAGGAGTCTTTCGGAGGCAGTGGGATGCAGCTCTTCATTGCTCACCTCAGGGTCGAGTTACCGGGCAATGCAGGAAGCCTCTTGGCAAAAGACTGGCGAACAGAATTCCTCATTTCTCACTCTCCCGGTGTCTAAGTGTGTGGAAAAGGAAGTGAGATTAAATTTTTAGGAAAAAAGGAGAACGGTAGAATTTGCATGTTTTCGCGGTCCATCCAAATCCTCCAGTCCTGTCACCCCTAATGTGGCCCTGCTATGGCCTCCCCCCTTGAAATTTCCTTATGAAAATGCGGACAAAATCTGCCTAGAGTCAGACCCAAAGGTCACCCACAGAAATCTATTTTTAAATTAGTTATAGTGAAATTTATTTAATTTTTTTAATATCTACAAGATAATAGTCTAAAAAACAATGGGCAATAGAAATACAAAAGCTCGTGTGCTTGCCACCTGTCTCAAGAAATAAGACATTACTGGAACTTGTGGAGCAGCTGCCTCAAGCCAATTAGGGTATGGCTTACCTCACACCTGCCTTCTCTCTCCTCTGAGGTAACCAGAACCCCGAGATTGGTGTAGATCCTAACTTTGTGGCTCTGGTTATAATTTTTCCTTGGGGTTTGAAGCCCTAAATCATGTTTTCTTTTGTCACCCATCTTCAGAAATAAGATGCTGCTAGAACTTCAGGAGCCACCATGTGACACAGGAGTAGTAGGGTCACATCCCGTGCACCCCTCTGGAGCTTAGTTCTCTGGTTCGCGGTTTTTACTGACTGATGGTGAATAAACTGTCCCACTTTAAAGAGCAATTGCAAAGAATGATCGTGTGCACCTCTCTTGTTAGACGTAGCCTAACTACTTTGTACTAGTTTTTGGTAAAGTAGGTGAAAAAAATCCCTCTTTTGACTGTGCTGTTATGATGCCTCAAAGCAACTTTGTGTTTTGATTCCTGTATTGAGCAAGGTTGCAGACTCTTACCAATTCTGACATTTTTCAGTATATTCAACATAAACAATCATTCTCTGAAAATGACCGTTTTCCCCTGTGCTTGTTGGAAGTGATAGTTATTTTGACATACATAATTAAAACCTAAAATGAGATAATATCCCTGAATAACACAAGAGACTTTATCTCCAAATATTCATTTTATGGTTTACATGCTTTTGTTTACCATACTTTTATTTCTTTCAAATTAGGTGCAAGTTGTATATTTAAATAGACTTATTAGCTTCTAAGCTGATGTCCTCACAAACTGATCTTTCTTACATCTCAGATTTTCCTCTGGTATCATTTTCATTTTACCTGAAATATCTCTTTTAGGAATTTTAGATTTTGGTTATCTAAAAAAGTCTTCATTTAATCCTCATCTGTTATATATTTTTGCTGGTCTTGTAATTCTAGTCTCGCAGTTAATTTCTCTCGTCATACGTTACACTGCTGTCTCCTGGGTTCCCATTACTTCACCAAGAAATGATGACAGTCATTTGTAACTTTTCTTGCAACTCCAGTTAGATAAATATTGGGCCAAAAGATTCTCTCCCACGTCTTTTTCATTTCTTGTCTCTTCTCTCTTCAGTCTAGGGAACTATATTTTTCATTTCCAGAAGTTATCTTTGGTTCTTTTTCAACTCTCCTTTATCTTACAAAACAAATCTTTTGTCCCTCACTCTTGTCTCCAAGGTTGTTTGTAGGTATTTAAGCAGTAGAGCTGGGGGTGTAGTCCACATCTCCAGCTCTGTAGAATATGTGTGTAGAATCCACAGAAGGTTGATTTTGCTGCCTGTGGATTTGCTTGCTATTGTTCCTGACTCTGTGTGTCTCTGTGTCTCTTGTGCTTATCCACCATGAACTTCTTACTATCTTTGAAACTCTTCCTTTGGGTGCCCTTTGAATCTTGGATTGAATTTGTCCCCTTTAAGAAGGATTTCCTCTCCCCTCAGATTCACCTGGAGACATCATCAAGCAGAAACTAGTTTAAGTTTAATTATTAATTTTTTAAAAAGATATATAACCAAGTTAGTATGGCACCATAAATTCAGGAGTTTTTCTCCTCCTTTCACCCAACATCGACATCAAGAAATTTGGGTTTCTATATATAAATTTTAGGGGTTTTAAAAATATTGATCACTAGCCAGGGATTTAGCTCAGTGGTTCTGCCTCCTGCCTTGTAAGCTCAAGGTTCCAAGTTCGATCCCTGGTACCAAAAAAAAAAAAAAATTGATCACTTATTTAGCCTTAGGGTTTCCAACTACTTGCTGATTTTTCCTATTAGCCTCTTAACTTTTTGAGGGGTTTTCTCACCCTGTTCTCCATACAGCCCTCAGAGTTGTGTCTCAAGGTAGGAAGTTGTGGTAGAACGGCCTGGAACAGTCATGGACGTTCTCGTGCCTCCTCACCTCTGAGGATCCCTTACTTCTGTAACTCCATAATGCATTTCAGTGTAGGCACGTACACATATATAACATGCACATGCACATTATGCATATAATTTATCAAGTATTTTGATTGTCTTCCTCATGACAATCATTCAAGTGTATTGTTTACCACTCTGCTGTCATGAACACTTTTGTGAAACTTTATGCTATTAAATACATGTTCCATGCTACTTTTGGCACATTATTGTTAAACTTGTGTCCAAAGGTACCTAACATAAATTATACGGATGTGTGTATTTTAAACAACAGACCTATTAAAGTAGAAAACTTGTATATGATAAACTAATATAATTGATCTCTAACATTGTGCTCATGTGAAGCGGCTGTATACCATAGTTACAAACCAAAGGTTGACTTTTGCATGTAAACGTCATGCCACTTTGTATTAGAAACATCTCGTACCATCTAAACCAGCAGGAATTTTAGAGTTTGACTAAGACTGTGTATGTAAATAACAGATGGTAATACTCAATCCACTATTTTGTAGATTGACATAAAAAAAAATGATCAAACTTTCAATGTTTCAAAAACATAGTTGTAGCAGGAGTAGATTTAAAAACCACTGGATAACATAAATATTTGTCACATTCTGCTGTGGGTTTGTACGGATCCATGTGCACAGTGTAGAACTGACTGAAGTAACATGATCATGTTAGCCAGCATGTAGCAATTGAAGAATCTTAATCTCATTTTGATGTGTATTGTATAACTTGGACAAGCTATTGATGTACATATATTAGAAGGAAAATATGACTGCAGTTTTGTTCTCAGATTATACAACTGGCATATAACATATGGGCAGGAACATGAAGGTGATATTGTCAAGGCTTCTTTCTTGCTCTAAAAATAATGTAGATTTCTGTGCATACCATTAGAGGGAGCTCATTAGTACTTTTTTCCCACTAATGGTTATGTCATGGATGTCACTGGGGGAAATGCATGTGTATCATTGAAGGTGAAATGTGGATTTAGTAGGTGTGCCAGTCTTGAGTCATCTCTCACTGCCTATTGTCTTTTCCAATTGCACAACTTTCACAGCATGTGCTGGCTATTACTCCAAAAATAAAAACCAAGCAAGGAAAACATTAGAACCATAGATCCATTCCAAGTGCAAAATTCCAATTATCAAAGCCTAAACACAAGCCTTTTATTAAAAATTCCACTTTGATCTGCACCATAATTGGCACACTTTCTACTAAATGACACTGGCAATTTAGTGTTGCATTTCTATTTTACTTTTCCTCTACAAAACAGTAACACAATAGCATGATAGCATGATGCTCTGTTTGCTAAAAAGCTGTGGCCCCATCTCAGACTCGGGGTTCTCCTGCCTTTTGGGAGTGCGGGGGTCAGCCCTGCACCACAGAGGTGTCAGAAGACCAGCTGCTTTCATCACCAGCCATAAAACACTTCTTCCCAATTCTGCAGCTGCCCCATGTTGGAGCTCCTCTAATTCTGTCAGCAGTGCTGGTCACAGCAGACTGTGGTTTGTAAAGAGATTCGGTCCTTGTACAAAGTCAGTGCTTAAATCTGAGGTCAAAAAATGATGGTGAATTTATGACACTCTAAATTTTGTAGGGTAATGAATCTTCATATAAAATGTAAAAAAAGAATCTTTCACCAACACATCAAACTTCTAAAGGTTTGTGTGTATTAAATTTTCTTTCTAAATTCACAGTTTACAAAGATATTAAACCTATACTATATCCTATGATGAAGGGGCAAACAAACTCAGGTAAAGCATCCTGAAGTCTACACATGAAAAACGTGTCATGTAGGCCTTATGTCACTTGCTCACAGTTGCCCTAGAAATCATTATTTTATCTCCGTGTTATGGAAGAGGAGCCTTAGCATTCTAGGACCCAAATAACTTGTTCCAGGTCACAAGAATTAGTAGGTGCTGCCAAGTGCTTCACCAAAACTAAATAGGCAACACTGGAATTTGTTCTTAGTTTCACGTGTCTCCAACTCCAAATTAATGCTCACTCTGTAAATCTCCATGTCATAGAACTTCTGATAGTTAAAACCCAATTAAATAATAATAATAATATGAAATTGGATCTGACATTTTGTTGTCAAGTGGAGGGGAAGACAGAGTACAAATTTAAGGAGGAAATTAAGTGAAAGACACTTCTAAATTTGGGGGAGAATCTAAACACGGTATCACCCCCAAAAGTCCACATCTGTGAGGCTAAGAGACAGGGAACAGTCCTCACCTTGGGGGGCTTGTGACTGATACAGGTAAGCAAAGCAATGGTGCAGGTGCCCAGAAATGTGGGGGCTCTGTGAGAGTCCACTGGGAGGCTGACATTGTGATGAGATGGGTCAGAAAAGACGCTGGAAGAAGGCTGCATTGGGGCAATGCCCTGTGGTTGGAAATGCATACAAGGTGACACTGAGGTGAGCATTCAGGACACCCAGGACCAGAGCAGAAGAAGCAAAAGGGCGAAATGATACAAATGCAGCCTGTGGGGTGGGAGAGGCCTGAGCAAAGAGACTCATGTAGGCTAAAGACGCCAAGCTTATCATAGAAGCTGCTGAGAGTCACAGAAGGGACCGTGTGTGACAGCGCCCTTCTTTAGTCCAAAGGGGAAACCAGATCGGTGGGGAGACCAGTTGGGCGGCTACTGCAGGGACCAGGAGGGAAACGATGATGGCTAAGAAGAGGGCAGCTGCAGTAAAGGTGACGAGATGCTGCAAAGATGCTGGACTCTGCAGATAGGTTGACGGGCTAGCTGTGGGCAGCAGGTGGTTTAGGAGAGCGTTCCCACATCTCAGCTGTTTCGTTCATTCTTCCCCTATACCTCTTTGAACTCAGCAAATATAGGTTCAGTTCCCAGCTCTTCACAAGGACCCCGGTCAGTAGGGGCGGACAGTCAGGTGAGCACGAGCCAGAGAGTCAGTGGAGATGTGACACATTCTAAACAGGACTACAACATCATTTTCATTTTTTTTTTCCTCCTTGGCAATAAAATTAGGACAACTGACTGTGAAAGAACCCGAATTCCTTGATTTTGAAGTCAGGAATGACGTAGAACTCATCATTTTAGCCGAAAGCAGCGAGCATAAAGCCTACAGCAGAGTAGCAGTCTCCATACAGGATGTGAATGATAACGCTCCGTGCTTTGAGCAAAGCATTTATCAAGCATCGGTGTCTGAAGGCCAGGGCTACAACGCCCACGTCATTCAGGTAACAGGATTGTGTGTGTCCGTGGGGTGTGGGGGTGTGGACCCTTGTCAAGCCATGGACCTCAAGATATCTAAGGCCTACATCCAACACATGACTTTTAAATGTCTTCGGGGAATGTGCAGGGTTTGATGCATTGGATAGAACTCTTGACTGAAGGAAATCTGGAATTCTGCCTGCACGCTTCCCCTTCATTCATTCAGTGTTCAATTCCTGGCCACTTGTTTTCTCCAGGGACTCTGAGCATTCCCCTGGAACAGGGGACATGGCAGGCAGGGACACGAGAAACAACTGTCCTTGTAAATACAGGCAGTTTAGTGGGGAAGCTGGAAATGTAAGTTTTTATGTTAAATGTAACATTACTTTTATGGAGCATCAGGTAATTCATGCATAATAAGCTTGCAGTTAGTGTCAAGAGAGAAAGGAGGTGAGAGAGACCCAGCCTGAACCATTGCTCCTCAGAAGAACCACCTTCGAAGCAGGTCTTCTGGTACTGGGGATTGAACTTGGGTCCTTGTGGCTGCGCAGCTGGCAGTGAAACCACTGAGCTAAATCACCAGCCTGAAGCGGTTTTAAAGGGTGAGCGGCCGTGTGGACAGATCTAGGAATCTGTTCGCCAGCTCTAGTCCCCAGCCATCTTGATAATTTCTCCATCTGCATCAAAACCGCTACCCGTACTTCCCCTTTCCTTCACCACCAAACTTAGCCTTTGCAGTCATGAAGTTGGACACCAGAAGCTCTGCAACTCCCTGGGAATCTGCAGAGGGAACTGGCGTAAGACTGGCTTCCTGCAGAAGCAGCCGTGGAGCAGGACATTTCCTTTGGCCGCCGGAATTTTGCCGATGTGATCCGAAGCTCATGCCGATATTTACGTCACCGGCTTTCTCTCTGGCATAGGTGGGGTCAGAAAACTGCACCACACACGGGTACACTTTCTAGACAGGACAGCCAATAGTTCTGCGCTGCCTGGCTACCTTTACCTGAAATATAGATACCAAGACTCCTTCCTCTGACTTGAAGGCCAGTTCTGGACACACCATCCCCTCTGTCGGTGGAAACCAGCAGACTCCGAAGTTGGAGTCTGTGCTCGCACCCCCACCCAACCCAGCATATCCTCTTGGCTACTACTGCAGGTTTATTTCATCTCATAGCAGATTTATTTTATGTTATTGCTGCAGTCGCCTGCCTGTTATCTCTTTACTCTTGTTTCAGCCAAGACTGGGATGTTTAAGAAACTAAGAACATTTACTGCCCACTCATTGCAAATCAGTCCTCAGCTTGGCGAAGCCCTCAGTTCCACTCTGTCACCGGAGGACCCCTGCGCCGTGGCCTGTGGCACTGCACTTCTCTGCCCTGACCTGGAGAAGGGTCCGTGTGCCCAGGGTAAATGCACATGAAGATGCCCTCCAAGCCAGATGCTCCGATGGGACCCAGCCTGACCACCTGGTGCTTCAGTCTGTGGTGCCCTTCTAGAAGCTCAAGGCAGGGGCGTGCACAGTGGGCATTGCTCTTTCCGTTTTTAGATTATTTTGTTTCCGGGAAGCCAGCACTGCCATTTGTTGTCCTCAGAAAGGAACAGAAGGCTCTGGGAGCTATAGCATCTGTAGAGGTGCCTTCATACTGTTGCCAGCACAATGTGCACACACGCTCACCGGTCGCCTTGGAGGCTCTGGGCCTCCTCTGCGGGGAGCAGACTTGGGAGGACCGTCAGAGTTCTGGCCCAGCTCCCATCCTGTCTTCCAGTGGTGGCGTGAATGGCCTCTGTCTCAGACATACGGATGCTCTCTCTCTGCACCTGCTTTTTCGGTGGCACATTTGCCGTACATAGTTACATTCCTCTAGGGAGTCAGTGCCTGTTCCTAGCACGTCATAATTCCTTTTCATCCCCTGCCTCTCCCTTTCGTCCCGCCCTCTATCCCTTGATCCACTTTCCTTTCATCAAAGATCTACCTCCCTGTTTCCTATTATCTGTCTTTCATTTTGCTCTTCAGTTTATTTAGGAATTTGAATCTTGGGTGAAGAGACATCAAGAGAAGGATGACCTTATCATCACGTCATCTTGTCAAGTGTAGGATGCTGTGCCGTGGATCCCCATAGCTGCTGAGCTTCCTGTACTCACCAGGCACTATCACTGTGACACATTTATTCCTGGGGAAGTTAGCCACCTGCTGTGTGCTGTCAGGTGACCCAGAATGCTCAGATTTGCCACCCTAACAAGGCTACCCTGTGCCACATTTAAGCATACAGCTCCAAGGGCATATAGACTTTATCTGCTCCTAGCTGGGGACTGTTGTCTCTTCCTGGTGATCCCAAAGGACACTGTGTGTTTCTGTCTTTCTGCACCAAAAAGCTGGCACAGGTGCCTTCCTGATGAGATCCTGTGAGCTCCACACGGACCACTCAGGGTCCCCAGAGAATTCTGGCCTCAGTGTGAAGGATGGATTCAGAGGGAAACATTGGAAGCAAAACCCACTGCTAGGTCATCAGCGTAGCAGGCAGGAAGGGGATGACAAGAGGCTTGAGCTAAGGCTGAGAATGTAAAAAAACTTAAAATTTAACAAATCTGAAACTTGTTCTTCAGTGAGATCTTGACTCCACTGTCATGGTTGGCTCAGTGACTGAAACTGAATGCAGACTGAACAACATATCTCTTTGAAGAACGTTCTAAAACTTCTGCTCCGTGCCCAACAATACTTTGATGACTTATCAGATAATCAGGATTTAAATTTGTTAGCACCAACTGTAGGTTCTGTTTTATTTTTCAAAAATCCCTTTAAATTGAAACTTTAATACAATATAAAAATTTACACATGGCTTATTTTAAAGGTACTACTTTAAACAGAAAAAAAGAGGACAAATAAAAAGTTACATTCACAATATAAAGGTTTCCTATCATATTTATCATTCTTTCTGGTGTAACCATGAATCCACAGATGGTACTAGAAATCTTTTATTGAAGAAAATTAGATATTTTTCCAGTAATTTTGTCTACTGCATAAAATGATAGCTCAACGTCATGTGAAAGTTATTTGGAAATCCTTTGCATGAGTATCCAGGGAATGTCCTCTCCCATCACTCACTTTATGATAAAGTTAAATGTACATTACAGCTGCTTGTTGGTGTCCTTTTAATTACTGTTTTTAAAATGCATTCGACAACTTGTGACTTTTTTCATAGTGCATTTCTCTGAAGAGTAAGCTTACCCCATATTGCAGACTAAGCCGTTTCTAACAGGTAGTTGTTTCCTCATAGGTAACTGCTTCCGACCCGGACAGTGGATTGAACGGCCGTGTTGAGTATTCCATTGTCTCTGGCAACCAAGGAGAAGCCTTCCAGATTGATGCACTGAGCGGCGTGCTGACTACCAGTGCACTTCTGGATCATGAGAGCACCAAGTCCTACAGGTGAGTCCGGGATTCCCCGTTCTTCTGCTTGGTTTCTGTCGACATTGTCGCTTTGGCCTCGGTTTCCGGTTGTGTAAGCTGAATAGTAAAAACTCTGATCCAGCTTGTGATCCGTATGTCCTGGTTGACATATTAACATTATCTTAGAAATTATTTGCTATTTGCAAAAAGCAATTCGATGAGTTCTAGGATTTTCTGAATGTCTGATGCTGTTAAGGGCCTAGTAAGAGGCATTAAGAAGGCAGTTTGTGACATGTCTCCTGAGCTACAGAGCCCTCTGAAAATGTTGCCTGTTGCTGTTTTTAAAGGCAGTGAAGACTGAATGGCATCTGTTTTTAATTGTGTGCTCTTATTTTGTGTATGGAAGTACCACCTTGTCACCAGGGTCCTTTTCCCAGTATTATGTTCCAGTAGAAACAATCTTATTAAAAGCATGTTTTCAACATTAAATTTTTTTGCCTGAAGTCCAAGGTGCCAGCCTTATGCAGAACTCTATAAAAGAGAGAGTAATGGTGTCATGGTTCTTCTAGGTATTAAAAAGTCAGTGCTTTTTAGCGTAGTCTAGAAATCTAGATGATATACACTTATTTTATGGCATCCCAATCTATAACATCAAAAGACTCTAAGAAGCTTAGAATGTCCATGAGTGGATGTTGCTTAAAGGATAATGGTATAGCCTTTCATTGGAACTCCATGAAACTGAGTTTTATAAAGAAAGGCATAGGTCTGTATTTGCTGACTAGGACAGAGCTCCTAGTGCCTAACTGTGTGAAGGAAACAGCAAAACAGTGAGGTGCACTGCAGTGCTCATGCAGCATGACTGTTTACACAAAAGCAGACTCATCTACTTGATGGACTGTAACCTGGTCTGTCTCTGGAGATACAATAGGGAAATCTGTGGTCAAACAGAGGCTTGGCCTTTTTATTGTACATTTTAGTAAGTGTTGTACCTGTGTTGTATTTGTATGGTTTTCTCAAAAGTCACATATAGTATAGTAGTCTCCCCTTTTCCTTTCTAAAACCCCCATTGGAGACTCAAAACTTAGTACTTAATGCTTTATGCATAGTGATTGTATTCCTCTGTGTCCCACATGAAGCCTTGCTGTATAGTATCAAAGTTAATTTTTTCTTCCACATTTTATGCCCGGTGCTTCCTTTGCATCATTAATTTGATCTTTAGGATCACTGGTAAATAAAACATGGGTTTCTTGAACACAAGCCCTTCTGTGACACAATAGTCAATCTGATAATGGAGATGACTACTAAGTAACTACAAGGCAGGTGGTGTATACAGCATGGATACACTGGACATAGGGATGATCCACATCCTGGGTAGGACAAAGCAGGACAGCATGAAGTCACATCACACAACAGTGTACTTGTGTGGCTAAGCAAGGAGAGCTGATTAAAATGTAGCATGCTGGGCTGGGCATTTAGCTCGGTGGTTCCACTGCCTGTCTCGCAAGCATAAGGTCTCGAGTTCGATCCCTGGTACTGAAAAAAGTAAATGTAACATGTCACTTGGTAGACGAGAAAAATCTCCCAATTCTGAAAGTTTAAGTGTCTTTTTTTGTTGTTGTTGTAGTTTAATGTATTTAAAAACATGACTTAAAAATATTTTTAAAAATGAAAACCTTAACCTACGTTAAATATTAGGAAAATTTAGAATAATTCAGTGTAGTATTAACACACCAAAGTGTTAAGCCCTATCCTCTGCGCTGTTTCTATAATGATTTTACCCGTGAATGTGGTCCCCCTCCATGAGTGAAGCCAGGTGTGTCCCACCCAGCTGCTATTTGAATGATTACAAATTCAGAGGCTTCAGTCTGCTTCATTCCAGCAGCTAAGCATTATCCATTTGCAATGACTTCTGTTACAGGGTTCTTATTACTCAGTAGAGCCAATTAAATCTAAGTTCATTCAACTCTATTTGCATCATAATTTCTGTTCCTAACATTCACATTGGCCCCAATATTTTAAGATGCCTTTCTCCAGTTCCCCAGAAAGACTAACTCAAGGTTGGGAGAAGCAACAACTGAGAGAAGTTGAAGTGCTCCCCCCTTACATTGACACTGAGAGATGCACACAGATAATGACAAGCACAGAGAATCTCTCTCTACGGTCTCTCTCTCTCTCTCTCTCTCTCTCACACACACACACACACACACACACACACACACACACACACACACACAGTCTCCAACCTCACCAAGGCCAGAAAGCAGTTTTTTAAAAAGTATTTTTGGCAGTTGACACATGCATATGCATATAACATCTTGATCATTTTCGATCCCGTAATTCCCTCTCCTTTCCCCTCCCCCAACCTTTTTCTCCATCCTCATAAGTCTACCATCTATTTGCTTGTCTTATCACCATTCATTTGTTTATTTTTAGGCTTTTTATATAGAGAACACATGTGACTTTGACTTTCTGAATCTGAGTTACTTAGCTTAACACGATGCCCTTGATGCTAAGGGAGTATTTTAAACTTCTTGCTCTCCCCATATCTTGTCCCAGCCCTGCCTACCTGGTAGCTCCTATTTTGCTTTAATGTTTTCCTAGGTATTCAAGGTAGTGAAAACTGTATGATGATTTTTTTCCCCTATTCTGCTACACCTTCAGTGAATGCTTTGTAAATGGTGTCCTTTGGCTTTCAGCTTTTCTTTCCTTTAGAAGTATTGCTCTTTTATCTCATTGAGGAAAATATTCCCAATTCTAGCCCTTTGTTTAAAATATAAAATGAAGGAATAAATGGAGATGGTTTCAGTTATGATTCTATTAAATATAAATGAATTAGAAAATTTTAGTTTTCATATGAAGCCCCATAGAGGAAAACTCAGTGGAAAGATGAAAAATTACAAAATAGGCATTAAGTTCTGTCTGGCTGACATATCTAAATTTATATAAACTGCTTACCAAGCAGGAAGGTGGGGATTTAAAGACAAATGAAATAGTCCTAGCCCTTGTTCTTAAGGAGCTCATCATTGAGTACCAGTAAAATCTTCAGCAGAAAGCATATTAATAATCACAACAGTGGCCCTTTATGGAGCCTTGCTTTACAATTAGTACTTGCTGAATTCTTATAATAGATATGATTTACAAAATGAAGAAATTAAAATTAGCGACATAAAATTGATTTGCCAACAATATGTACTAATTGTAAAACAGTCCGGCCCATGTGAGTAGTCATAGTAATGCTTCCTTTGGAAACAAAAAAACTTTAAAAAGTTAATATTAACAAAGAAGTCTAAAGTTAGGGCCAAAATGTTAATCTTTTGAGGAACTTTTAATAAAAATGAGCAAAAAGAAATTCCTAGGCAATTAATTGTTAGCCTAAATGTTTAAAATTCAGCTTCTATATCATAAATATTCAAGATGAAAGAGCAGTTATTTGCCAGAGGCAATGCTCAACTTACAGTACTCTCTCCACTGAAGGCTCATTGTGACTGTGAAAAATAAAACAAGAAAAAGCAATTGTATATACAGGGAAAGAGACTGGCCGACATGTTAATTGTCTTTCCAAAGTACACAGCTTAATAAGCAACAGGATTGGAATTAGAGGTCCAGTACGTTCACTCCCCATGGAACAGAGAACAGAAGTTACTAGGCAGAAGGCAGGAGGAAGGCATGGGTGTGCTCAAGTCTGTGGCGCATTTGGAAGTAGCAAGGCATAGAGCACGCCTGAGACACAAGTGAGTGTAGGCTCTCAGAAGCTGGCTGGATGTAGGCGATCTGAAGGACTTTATATGCCATGGCACAGAAGCTATGCTTTATTTTGTGGCTATGCAAAAGCCCGAGCAGTTGAGTGAATGCTCAGATCTTTATGCTGAAGTGGTATTTGGTAATGGATGTGTCGCAGAGTAGAAAACTAGCGCAAGGCAAACGGGATTAGCCAGACAACATGTAAGACAGGCTGGTTACCCAAATGATGGAGAAGGGATGGGATGTTTGTCAGCTTTGCCTCATTCTGATGTCTGAAGTACATCAATTTAGAAGAAGCGTTTTGTGACTCTCAGGTTTGAAGGTTTCAGTCCATAACAGGTTGGTCTGCTGCTTTGGGCCCTGGAGTAAGACAGATGGGAGATGGCGTTACGGTGTGGTGAAGGAAAACCGCTCACCTCAAGGGGGCTGGTGGCCCACAGTGCCCCTGGCGGGCTCCTGCTCCCTGACCTGACTTATTCTACAGGTTCTACCCTCCCAGTAGTGCCAGGGGCTAGGGACACCTGAGCCTCTGAGGGATGGTCCAGGTCCAGATTATAGCAAGGAGGTGCTTCCAAGTTGATTTAATTATGGAGCCCATAGAAACCCAGTGGCAATTTGAATTTATTTAGTGAAGAAGGAGATAAAAATTTCTACTTGGAAAAGAAAGAAGGAGGAATGGACAAGGAATGGATTTTAATTCTAAGCAACTTGAATTGAAAGAGCCAGTGCAAGAGGAAAAATGAAGATTTCCCCTTGGGCAATTGAAAATAGTGATCTGGACTCAAGAAAGTATCCTCAGTCAAGGTTTGGGTTAAATCTTCAGTCACGGTCTAGGGACAAGGTGTCAAGTGGAACTACGAGGGAAAACATGTTATCTGGGGATTGGATAATGGCGATGGTGATGAATTATTCCCCGTGAGGAGCAGACAGAGAAACAGGAAGCACAAAACGGATTTGGAGACTATAGAAAGAGCCAGAAAAAGATGGTGTCATGAAAACCAAAGGAAAAGTTGGGTTGCATGAAAGAACAAAGCTTCAGAATGTTTGGATTAGTCTCTAGAAATGTTCCTCATTTTAAGGAGTTTGCAAGGGATAAGCTTGTCCTTTATTCGTTTTCTTTGTTTTTGTGTTTGTTTATTTGTTTTTGTGGCATGAGGATTGAACCTAGGGCCTTTGCACTGAGCTACATCCTTAAACTTTTTTCTATTTTTAAATTTTGAGACAACATCCGACTAAGTCCTTATGTTGTCCAGGCGCCTCCAGGCTCAGCCTCCTAAGAAGCAGATGGCGCAAGTAGT